CTGATTGATCTGTTACTGATTGATCTGTTACTGATTGATCTGTTACTTATGATCACTTAGTCTTGTTACTGTTAACTGTGGAAATAAAGCACATTAATCCTAAAATAACTGCGTAAATGAAGTCTGACCGGTAACAGAAACCGGTAACAGATAAAAATAATTAAAATCACTTTTCATAACTTACCGCTGGACGCAGCGAGGAAGAGGAGGAGGAGGAAGGAGGAGGAGCGTCCAGGGAGGAAGGCTTGGCGGCTGCAGCTGATTTGTCTCCAGACGACGACTTCAGGGAAGACGAAGAGTCTCCGAGCTCCTTCTGCAGACAGACAGGAAGTAGTGATTAGCAGCGACGGAGCATCGGTAAGCGATCAATGACCGAAACAGAAACACACGTGATAACCTTGTGATCGGCGGCGCCGTCGCTCTCGGCTTTAGAGATGACGGAGGTTTTCTTGATGACCTTGTGGGGTTTGGCTGGACCTCCTGCAGACAGACGGACGATCAGACAACCACGACTGAACAAACGTCACAGTTTGAATCACGCACACACACACACACACACACACACACACACACACATACCTGCCAGTGCGGCGGAGGTCACCAGCTCGGCCTGGCTGCAGCGTGGGTTGACGATGTGCTCCTGGATCAGGTACCGAGCGATCTCCACCACCGTGTCGAACGAACGCTTCAGGATCTTCTGGGCCCAGTCGCAGATCAGCTCGCAGGCCGCCTCCATCACTTCCTGTTTGTACGTCTGGACCAACTCGGTCAGCTCGGCCTGGAGAGGAAGAGGAGGCTCAGTTTATTATGAATCAGATACTAAATCATAATAATAAAACATTAATTATACTTGTTTTATCCGTTTGAATAGTTTGTATTGAAGTAAAGAATAACATCAATGTGTGTGTGAGTGTGTGTGTGTGCGTGTGTGTTTCTGTGTGAGTGTGTTTCTGTGTGTGTGCGTGTGTGTCTGTGATTCTGTGTGTGTGTGCATGTGTTTCTGTGCGAGTGTGTGTGAGTGAGTGTGTTTCTGTGTGTGTGTGCGTGTGTTTCTGTGTGTGTGTGCGTGTGTTTCTGTGTGTGAGTGAGTGTGTTTCTGTGTGTGTGTGTGTGTGTGTTTCTGTGTGTGAGTGAGTGTGTTTCTGTGTGTGTGTGCGTGTGTTTCTGTGTGAGTGTGTGTGAGTGAGAGTGTGTTTCTGTGTGAGTGAGAGTGTGTTTCTGTGTGAGTGTGTGTGTGTGTTTCTGTGTGAGTGTGTGTGTGTGTACCGGGTCGTTCTTCAGGTCCAGGTTGGGCAGTAGAGGCATGTTGAGAACCGTCTTCCTCCTGATGCCGCTGTAACAGTACGTATCAGCCGGGCAGGTTAAGGAATTCAACCAGCAACCCTGAAGGCTCAAAACGCTCTAATGTCGCTCCGTGAAGGACGGTATTCTAGGGAAGGTTTAACTCGTTAATATGAGACTGAGATCACACGGTCCGCTACATGGAAGATGTTTCACTCTTTCTGTTGTACAGTGGTGTTACAGAGGCTACGCCTGCACGACTACCTTCACATTCATAAACACATCTTCTGCTACCTTCACACTGAGCGTCCACACTACGCCGGAGTTCAGAGCACCAAAAACAGATGAGTTTGTAAACTCCGAGGTTGCCTCCTAGTGTGGATGGTCGTAAACGCATAAGTTTGGAAACGATGGCGTCCTGCAGATCAAAGGATATTTGGACTGTCCTCTGCCTCCGAGCCGTCGGGCTTTGATGTTTGGGAAAATGTCTCTGATGATCTTCCCAAAGTTGGCGGCGCTCAGAGGACGATGCTGCAGGTTCTCACAGTATCTCCTGGGGGGGGGGGGGGGGAAAGACAGACAGGTCACATGACAGCCCGACCCCGTGGCCTTTGTTAAAGTGGAGAGAGTGACTCACCTGTACGTCTCATAGACATCCTGTTTGGGCAGACAGGTGTCAGAATGCTCCTCCAGGTGACTACGGATCCAGTTACAGGTGTGAAGCTGGTCAGCTGTGTTGAAGGAGGAGGAGTCACCACCACTACACACACACACACACACACACACACACACACACACACGCACGCACGCACACACACACGCACACACACACACACACACACGTATACACAAACACACATATACACACACACACACGCACGCACGCACACACACACACACACGTATACACAAACACACATATACATACACACACACACACACTACATGATTACTTTACATAAATAAATAAAATGAAGTTGAATTAGGTTTCACATTTGTTTACATGTTCACAGATTGTGAACCGGTTCTGACCTCTTGTCTCCGGAGGGTCCTGAGGGCAGCTGGAGGTAAAGGTACAGCTTGTCGTTGTCGGAGAAACGCTGAACATCTTGCTGTCGAAGCAGAACAGAACAAATAATAATAATAATAACTATTTATATAATAATAATAATAACTTTATTTATATAATAATAACTTTATATATATAATAATAATAATAATTTTATTTACGTAATAATAATAATAATTTTATTTATATAATAATAATAACTTTATTTATATAATTATAATAACTTTATTTATATAACAATAATAATAACTTTATTTATATAATAATAATAATAATAATAATAACTTTATTTATGGCACCTTTAAAAACAGAGTTTACAAAGTACTTTGACAGAGAAAAGCAGCAGAAGCAAGACAATAATAATAACAACATAAAGATTAGTGAGACAGTCGATATAAAATAAATAAAATGAACAGAATTAAATAAATAAAATATAACAGAAAAGCGACGACGTCACATTAAAACTAGTGCTGGGCAACGATTTAAAATATTTAATTGCGATTAATTGCATGGAATTTTTCCGATTAATCGTGATTAATCTCATTGTTATGCAAAGTCCAATAATGAATTATAAAGTAGTGTATTGTGCACTTTTATTTTAAAGTGCTGCTCTATGAACTAAAGGTGAATAACATTGTGTGTAAACACTTTAAACACATCAGGTTGTTGTAAGCAGCAGTGTTCTCTTCACACAGCAGCAGTTCTATCTCTTCACTATCTGTGCTCAGTGTGACTGTGTGTGAAACGTTCCACTGCTGTGCAACAGGAACAACATGTTCCACACGTTCCATCTACATGTGTGTGTTGTGTCTTCATGACAGTCAGAGCATGTGATGCAGCTCTACTCTTCATCACTATGATGCTATAACTCACAGGTGATGAAGGTGACCCAGCTCTACTCTTCATCACTATGATGCCGGAACTCAGAGGTGATGAAGGTGACCCAGCTCTACTCTTCATCACTACGATGCTGTAACTCAGAGGTGATGAAGGTGACCCAGCTCTACTCTTCA